ATGTGTTGCTGCTAATGGCCCCAGCCAATATGATCCATCAGTGCCAAGCTGAACAGCATCACATTCACTACAAAGTGGTAGATTGTGTTTGGGTCAAAGTTCCAAATATGCACTTCTCAGTGAAAATGACAGCAAGTCTTCTTTCCAGAGTGCAAGGATGATCAATATTGGAGATGCACTCAGTGATACCCCTGAATCAAGCAGCTCAGGGACTGATATAGACTTGCGAGAGGACACTTCAGGGGATAAGTCACCTGGAGAGGAAGCTGTAATCATACCACTATGATGGAGAACACATCACAACAGACCAGCCTCAGGGTGCTATATATGAGATCAGTGGGGAGTGTAGTGGAAATAAAATGCAGACAGAGTAGCCAATCGCTACATCTGCCCACATCTGTCAAAGAGACAACATTTAGTGTGTTGTCTTTGCAGAAAGACAGCACATGGCTTCCCTTCCAGAACAGAGTTGATGCAAACCCCAGAATATCTGGTGATGAAAAAAAGTGTTTACCAGCTTCCCCATAAGATAGACAGGATTGTGAGCTGTGTGGTGTTAGTTATGCAAATGATCTCTTTGCAAACCAACCACTAAAGTTTTAGGCTCCAAAAAAAGCAGACACATTTTCTGGGAAGATAAAACTTGGCAATGCACTGTGATGACCACATAATGGGATTGCCGTGCGTCATTTCAGATTCGTTCATCTTTGTGTTTCCAATGTCTCAGCTGTGTCCATCCTGGATGTGTGATGTTCCCATATAGAGGTTTTGTCCATGCCCTCCTCATCCTGATCTAGTGTTTGATTCTGGTGCTGCTAAGTTTTCTGTGCCTCTTTGTTGGCAGATACTTTGTAGTGATCTAAATTAGAGACAATTAGAGACTAATGAATTACAAATCTGTATTAGCCCAGACAATGATGATTATGGAGCCTTTATTTGATGCCATTCCAATGAAATATATAAAGATGAGTGCTAAGCCAATGTATCCATTCATTTATGCTATGGGGTGTATGTCAAATAAAAGACCAGTGGATATAACAATCATTATCTTAAAAGGATATTAAAATTTTGGATACTTTTTTTTTTCATTCCATCCATTAAAAAATAGGTTTTGGGGTGATAATGTTTTGCCACAAAGCAAAGAGCGCTAAAACTACTCTTCAAGAAAGATATATCAACTCAATGACATGGTCAAATCTAAATCTGATTGAAAATTGGAATTTTAGAAATGGTGCATATTAAAGCTCTATCCTGTAAAGTTGATTTTTTTTCAGTTACCATTCAATAAATTTGGAGCCAGAATATAATTTGAGGTATAGGCTAATAAGAAATAGTGGAGCCTATACACCAAAAGAATTCAAACATAAAAGCTTGAGGTAAAAGAACAAAGTGGTAATTGTAACTTTCTTTGATTATTTATTATTTTTCTTTTAATACTGAATGATTTTTCATTTTGATTTAGAAAAATAAATTCCACCATTAGTTAAAATAATTATATTTAATTTGATGGTTGTATATTTCATGAAGCCAGAATTTTCAGCTGTTAAACAAAAATAATTTTGTCATCTATATAATTTTTTTATGAAGTAGAAAATGCTGAATAAATATCCTCTAAGTGTTGTGATTCCATAATTTTTGCCAGTGGTTTTATATCACTATATCTTGATGTTTTTTGAAAATATTTCAAACCAATTGATATCAACACAAAATTTTAATATTAATGAAATTCTCTTTGAATTTTTATTAAGGAAATCATATGATTTATGTGTACAGTCCTAAAGTTTACACATTCATTTGTTAATTACTTTTATATCGACGTGTTGATATCTGATTTTATTCTGGTTTTGAAATTCTTTTATCAAGAAATTATATTAGAGGTTTTGTATTTTAAAAATTCAGTAATTTAAAATTATTTCAGTTGATGAGGCAAGATAGTATATCACATGTAATTTCATCAAAGTTTTTTTTAACTGAAGTAAATAAACTGATTCAAGCCAATATTTTCAAATTATAATCTGTTGTAAAATTTATTTGAAAAATTCATTAGGGTTGACAGATTTCAAGCACTGACTTTCATTGGTTTCTTTTTATAGCATAATAGTTGTTTGTAGATGATACAGGATAAAGGCTAGCAGAAAAATTAATGTTCTGCATATATTTTACTCAGGATACATCATGACTTTTGGTAAACAGTCTTCAAAAATATTAAAATATAATTATTATATGAAACTTGTAAGAACAATAACATTTTGATGAAAATAGTTGAAAAGAAAAACTTTAGATGATGTAATTTTCTATAAATTGACAAATTTTGATTTAGAAAAAGTATAAAGGAATTAGTACTCTAATACACTTTTATAATTGTTCATACATTTATTTGAATTGTTGAAATAGAGCCCCATAGAGTATTGGACTGACAGTCACAAGGTTTACATTGCTATGCTTTTTTTTAATAAAAAAAAATCTTAATTCAAACATAAAATACCAATGTTACAAAGAATGAGCTATTTGTAAAATCCATAATGTCCAAGCAGCATAAATAAATGTGTGTTTGTTGTAGTAGACAAAAGAAGCAAAATACATTTCAATTATTTGGAACAAGTAACTGATGATTTTCTCCTGGGAATACAGTAAACCATGTGGAAAATTTAGTTTTCACTGACAGGAGGGAAGAATAACCCACAGCAAAGAAAAGAACAAATTACCATGCACACTGTACAAACCAGCTTATTCAATGACTAATAGAAACTTTTTTTCTATTCACTTCATGAACAAATCTAATAGAAAATACATTATACACAGACCATTAGCAAGTGTTTTGCTTTCATTCAAAGCAATATGAATCTCGTTTCAGGATGCAAATCAGACAATTTATTTGTATTTCATTTATAAAGTACAAACACAACAAAAGAGTTAATTTTAAGATAAATACTCATACAAAACAACTAATAAATTGATGAGAAAATCGTGTCTCTTCATAATAGGATCTTTTGGTGACAACATTTTTAAGAGAGTTAACATTTTATCTGCAATACAGACATGAGAAAAATCAAGTTAAAAGTCTAAATGAAAGAAAAATGACTGGATATAGATTACAAATTGGTTCTTTTTCTATTTCCTTTTACAATAGCAAAAACCTATTAGTACACAATAGAATAAATATATGCAGACTGGTCTAAATTACTTTCAAAATGTGTGTCAATCAACTTTAAAACTATAAGGACAATAAAACTCTACAAAATATTAATAAATATTACAATCCTTTAATTTTTTTGAGCTGATAAAGAAAGAAGCCAGTAGGAAACTGATTAGATTTTATCTTATTGATTATCAGATATTTTTGGGTCTTCAGAACAGAAATCATTCTTGATTAAATATTAGGAAAATATTCTGTAAATCATTTTCATATCTTTTAAATAAAAAGATTTATATTTTTTTTTATTTCTTTGAATGATTTCATTGGAGCAACTTAAGTTCGCAACGGTAATGCATCAGTTGACTGAACAATAATTATATAAACATTTATTTTGTACATTTAGAGACTTAAAATCTTTTCCTTTCTATTTCTGGATTCAAACCCTCATCACCTGATTAAAAAGCCCATATTTTTATAAGCTGAGTCATAAAGCTTACCTAATTTCAATTAGTTCTGGTAGGTTTATTTCACACTGCATGAAAAATATACAGATGACAATAAAAAAATATATATATATATATATATATATATATATATATAATTTATATATAATTTTGCCATGATTACCTACTTTTCAATTTTGACATAAAATTATTTACATTATTCAGACTGTTATTCTCATCTTCATTGTCATATTCACAAAGTTTCAGTTATTGTACACTCCAGACTTCTTCAGGTAATTGGAATTTTGAACCAAATACTTTATTTCATCCACTGGGGTAGACATATAAAGAAGAAACAGGCCACCCCCTTAAGGTAAGACTGCAGGAACATCGTAAAGTAGTAACACAAGGGGAAATAGAAAAATCAGGCATAGCTGACCACAAAGGATGGAGAAATAATAGAAAATCACTGAAAATACACTGACCATATGTAGAATGAGGTTGAAATACAATATGAGAACATCATAAGGAGTGCAATAAAAGCAATGAATAACAACACAAAAATTGCAATCTCTGGTAAAAAAAAATGTGCAATAATAATAATAGAAAATTTGCAATATCAGCACTGGTAAAAAAAAAAAAAAAAAATAGTTGCTGAAACATTAGGTTTATAAGTCCCAGAAACAGATGTCCTCAAGGACCCATGGCCCAGTGGATAAAGAAGTTGGTTAGACCCAGTGACTATATCCAAAGCGTTGTGAATTCAAAAAATTGGGGGGTTGAGTTAAAGAGAAATAACCAAGACATTTGGTCGAGGCATGGCATGTGGAACTACCCCAGTGGATGAAATAAAGGTTTAGGTTCAAAATTCCAATCACCTGAAGAAGGCCTGAGTGTACAACAGCCGAAACATTATGAATATGGCAATGAAGATGAGGATAACAGTCTGAATAATGTAAATAATCATAATACCTCATCTCAGAGATATAGACAGATTTTGACATAAAATATTAATACGAAAACAGATTTCTTAAAAATGGTGCAGTTTTCATATATATTTTTTTTTTTTTTAGTATATCTTTCTATATGTCTTATCAATATTGTAATGTATTTTAAAACTAAAGAGATTCCCATTACATTTTTATATTTATCTATATATATATATATATATACACACACAGGTATGTAAGGAATTAGAAAAAGAAATGCATTTATTGTTAGGGAAGAACTGGAAAAGAAAAGAAAATGACTTCTTATTAATTTGTGAATTTTAATCAAAGTTTACCATCTACAGATAAAATAGGCCAATAATATTAATAATATATAAAAAAATTACATAATATAAATGTCATTTCCCAACAAAAAAGGCAGTAAAGTTATTACAAGTTCAACTGTTTTTTCTTGGCAACTTCTGGATTAATTTAGAAATTCAGGATCTTGTTAGATTTTTGCCCAACACTGCTCCATATTGTGTTACTCATTGAGGAAATAGACTCAGGTTTCTGCAGTCAAGAGAAATAAACACATAATTAGAATCAAGAGGAAAATTGCTTTTTTTATACAGTTGAAAACTAAGAAATACAAAGCACATTGACTATATTTGTCATATGACCAATCAGTTAATTTAAGAAACATATGAGGTGCCACCCAAAAGCTCAGGAATTTGAACAAATTGGTCATATTAACAAATGTTTCCTCATATATGGCAAAATATTTTACAAATTTCCTGACATCACTTCACTAGGAAATAAAGAATTTTATTTTCAATCATTTTTTTTTTAATTCAAGAAGTCATTTTGTGCCTGAAGTTCTGTGAAGTTTAGCATCTTGTATGTTATATCATTTCTGGCTGTCATATATGACAAAATGTAGTACAATCTCAATTAAAAGGTGGCATTTAAACATTAATAAAAATGAAGTAGAAATATTCAGTTCAAAAAGAAAAAGCAACATTATCAGGTTGTAATGGACATGTACAGAAAAGTTTTTTCATGTTCTATAAAAAGTATTTTAAAGTATTAAAATAGTAACATTATTTCAAAATCATTAGTACCTATGTAATTAAGAAATTAATGCATGACAAGGTGAGATTCTTCTAAGATATTATTTTTTATGCTATATTTTAAATGTAATTTACAAGCTTCAGGTACTGTATTGTATATGTAAATTTACAGACATTGCTATTTACTAACTGCACAGGTCTTAACAGTTTAACTACTTTATTAGTAGTGTGTGCGCATATATATATATATATATAGAGAGAGAGAGAGATAATATTAATAATATTAGTGGTAAATATACACATACATTTCCTGTAACATTCGTCCCACGATCTCATACATACACTCTCACTAAATTTTATTTTTTATTCCCGGAGTTGTTTTTTCTGTTTTCTTTTTGAATTTGTAGGTCTGATGAATTGGATTGTATTTACGATTCCAATGGAATAAATTATGATCATGGAATATTAGTGTTTAAGCCTTTTTATTATATATAATATATATATATATATATATATATATATGATACTTAAACCCACCAATGAATGAATGTCCATTAAATGGTAATTGCTTACAAAACAACATAATATACCAAGCCACGGGAAAATCACCAGATAATGAAGAAAAAGTATACATAGGAGTAACTGAAGGATCCTGGAAACAAAGAAATTATTTACACAAAACATCTTTCACAAATAGTACATATGCAAACAGCACAATGCTTTCTAAGTATATCTAGGAAATTAAAAACAAAATGCAAATCACACCAAAAATATCATAGAAAATAAGGAAAAGATCATCAGCCTACAACAATCAATCCAAAACCTGCAAACTTTGCTTGGAGGAAAAAATAGCTATTGTTACCTTCCCAGACCAAAATAAATTACTAAATAAATGATCTGAGCTCATCTCAAAATGCTGACATGAAAACAAATTTTTACTACTTTACTTAAAAATCAAAAACAAGTAAAATAAATTAACCCAAACAAATAATAAATAAATTAACAAACCACTCCCATTAGAATAGACAAAATAGAACAAATTAAAATAGAAAATAAATACATAAAATACAAGTAAAAATAATCAATCCAAATTAATAAAGTAAACAATAAACAAATTAACAAACCAATCCCTCCAAAACAACCATTAAAATAGACTATCCATCCAAAAATTGGATGAGAAAATAGCTATAACTGCTATATAACAATAAAAAAATTACCACGTTACTCAAAAATTGAAAACCGAATAGAGTAAATAAAAATATACAAAATAAAAAAATAAGCAAATAAATAAGAAAAAACAAGTAAAAATTAATCAAAATAAATAAATGAACAAATTAACAAATCGCTCCTAAAAAATAAAATAATCAATCCAAATAAATAAATAAAATAATAAACAAATTAAAAACTGTCCCCCACCAAAATAGCAGAATAGATTATGGCAATCAATCCAAAAATTGGATGAATAAATAGCTTTATTTTCCCAGACCAAAACAAACTATTAAATAAGTGACCTAAACAAATCCCCCCTCCCAAATTTTTTACTACGTTAATAAAACCGAAAAGAATAAATATATAAAATTTAAAATGAAAATAAAAAACAAGTAAAATTAATTAACCCAAATGAATAAACAAGCCACTCCTGCCAAAATAACCACCAGAATGGATTATCCACAATGCACCACTGACTCATATATATAAATAGTCGAGAAAAATCCAACACTCGCAGCCTGACGATTGCATCTAGAATGAAACAGCCTGTCACCTCTGAATGTTGACTTCAATGTTCACTTTTATATTTACATATGCTCTGCCTCTGATATTGAGCACTTTATCCCATAAATATAGCACACATTAAAACTATATTTCTTCATATATATATATATATATATATATATATATATATATGGCATAATTGCATTTAGCAGAAAACAGTATGTCACCTTTCAATATTTTATATATATATATATATATATATATATATATATATATAAACTATATTTCTTCATATATATATATATATATATATATATATGGCATGATAATTGCATTTAGCAGAAAACAGTATGTCACCTCTGAGTGTAAACTTCAATGTTCACTTTTATATTACATACACTCTCTTATATTGAGCACTTTATTCCATAAGTATAGTATACCTTAAAACTATATATATATATAAAATTTTATTTGTCAACTGACAAAATACCAAATTCAGGAACATAAACTAAAAAATTTAGCCTAATACACCAAATAAATTTTATTGAATCATTATTTATACTATAAATATAATAAAGTCTGTCTTATAATAAATAATACTTCAAGTTGAATATAGGCAAAAAAAAAGAACAGAAATCTTGAAGATGTTTTGTAATAGAAGCCAAATAGTAAGTTTCTAAGTGACTTTTACATGTTAGTTTATATATATATATATATATATATATATACATATTTATTTCAGGAAGATATTAAGCTTTTAATTATGCAATTTTTTTATGGTAGTGATTTTGATTAATAACAAAAATGTATAGAAAAACAATTTTGATTTACAACAAAAAAAAGTAACAGAAAAAGAATAAAAATTGTGCCTTGGTCATGGGATCACATATGCTTTGTGACTCAGGTAATTAAATTCATGTCAAATTCTAGGCTATTAAATGCTGGCTGCTAAAATATGATTATTTTGCAGAAATGATATCTAATGGTAATTAAAAAAGATTGTTTTTGTTTGCTATTGTAGAAGAATTAAGCAAAAATGCCAAGTTGATGGCGAGAAGCAAATATATGTACAGTCTCAAGGGAAATGAAGTTATGACTCAAAGAGAGACTGATAGAAAATTAAAATAACCAATGTAGACAGACTTTTCTCTAAAACTGTGCAATACTTGAAAATACTTTTACAAATCAAACAATGACAGCTAATTTTCTATAGAAATCAGTTTAAAATTATAGGTGAGAGATAAGGCAAAATTATATATTGTTAAGATTTAAATATATTAGATTTTTCCCTATCATATAATGAAATATGCGAGTGCATAATTTTGTTCTTAGCTGTCAGTCTTCTTCAGATTGATATGTATAAATTTTGTCTTGTAATAAATACATCATTTTAGGATATAATACATCACCGTGTCAAATCCATCATAGGGATGTCAGTATTAATGTTGTAGGGCATTCATTCAAATGTAAATTAATATCTGATGGCAAGCAAAGGTTTCAGCCTTAATCATATGATAAGAGAATGCTTGTTTCAATACAAAAGGGTGAGAAGCAGTTATAGACAGAAATCAAGGAAATAAGTATAATGTTATCATGCCAAGTGTTAGGTCATATTTTGTCAGTGTTGTTTGGCAAAGTATCTGACTGTACCTTTATTTGTGCATTGATGGGCACATTACTGGAAAATATGAAGCAGCTTTTTCGTACCTCTTTACAAATGGATTCTATGAATGTTGGCCTGAAACTGATATTGAAGGAAGAAATACTTTGTGTGTGTGTGTGTGTGTGTGTGCAGCCATTTGAACTATTGAACCTTATCTCAGTGTAAATTTTGACAAGTGAAAGATTTAGACCTAATCAGGCGTTGAGAGATTGCTTGCTTCAATAAAGAAAGGCAAAAAGCAGTCATGGACAAAGAACAAGGAAGATCTTATTAACTATTATGTCATATTTCATCAAATTGTTCAAGACACAAAACTAGTACTTGATTCCTCCCCGGGCAAAATGTAAATGCAGTGCTACCTGTAATTGCATTTTACATTGATGGAACAAAATGCACAGCTTGGTGGATTATGGATATTCATGCTCAAATGTCAATGAATCAGTTTTTCATATATGGAAAAGGGGAAAATGTAGACATGCTGTTAATGAGAAAACTCTTAGGTGTTGTAGGGTTGGGAGTCTCAACTCTATGCCCTAGTGCATGTGGAATTGGTTATGGTTGACGTTTTGATAGTAGTCAGCTTTCAGGATTTAATCTTGTTTTTGTAGTTAGTACCATTAAGCCGCTAGATCACTTAATTAGATACTAAGGAGAGAGATATTGGCATACAAAATTAGGATTTGGTCTCAATGTTGAACCAATGATCATGAAATCTGTGCTGAGAACTATACAGTAACAAGATAAGTCTATTCAAAGGGTAATGTTAGCATATATTGACAATATCTTTGTTAATGAAAATATCATGCTTTCTGCAAATGTCAAGAACCATTTGTCAAATTTTGAACAAATCAATAAGGATCCAGACTAGAAGTTAGTGCTTGAGTACTAGGTTCTGGAAGTTTAATGGGACAATGACAAATTATGTTGGAAATGAGGAAGCCTGGTCGTGAAAATTCTCAATATTATTAAGAGACAATGTTTTTTTTCCCATTTGTGAGAAACTTGAGGCATTTTCTGCTGCAGCAAAAATGTGCTGGGATGATGAAGTAAAAAGTATGATAGCTGAGACCAGAATGGAAAGAAAAAAAAAAATTCTACTGAAGAAGAGTGGGTTAATGAAAGTT